GTTTTGATTTTCAAAGAATCAACATTCAGATTCACTAATTCTTGATTTTTAATCTTGATAACACTTAATTCATTATTTTCGCTAATTCTTGATATGGTCGTTTTGTTGCAATGTAAAACATTATTGCAGTTGTAAGAGACTTATTGAATCATGAAATTACGTAATTAATTTGCTTAAATCTGTTTTAATTTCATAATTCGTGATAAAATTATTAAAGTCCATAGATACTGTATCTCTCCGTTACGTTACAACTTTTTAAAATAACTTAATGCGAGATTATTGCGTACAATTTTTGTTAATTACATGTCAAAGAATATTCTGACAGCTGATATCATTCACAAGGCTTTTCAACGAACCAGTTCAGCAATCTTTTTATTGAATATAGAAATCAGTGACGATAATAATTAATAAAATACTACAGAGTATCCCTGGACATTAGAATTAAAAAATGGATATAGGACGGTATTATAAAAAACGTGGCAGTGACGTCATATTCCTTTCTAATTTCGTTGCGTCATAACGAAATGGATTAAACTGTCTTGCGAGCTGAAAGAATTATCGTCCTTGAACCTGCCTGTTGTTCTCCTTGCCGGGTCGCTGAACCCCCCCAAACTAGCGTAGAATTTCAGATACGATTTTGTCACGGTTTAAAGTGCAAAAATTATATCGTGCAATTGAATGAATAAAATTTAATTTCATGTAACTTCGTAATTTCGTGATTTCAAAAGACTATAGTAATGGCCCCAATTTCTGTTCACGTCACAATTTTTGCTCACTGGTTTCTTTTCTATAATTTCATACGTAATCTTATGCCAGTGTGTAGAAATGGTGACGTGAGCAGAAATTAGTACATTTACTACGTATGAAGCAGTATCTTTATAAATAGCAATGGTTGGCTTTGAAACAGTTAGTAGTACTAATTTTGACGAGCACCAGCCAAATTTGTACACGGAAATCAATAAAGTACTCCAAGAGACGTATAAAAATTCGACATTCCGTTAATGCCATCGAAGGTCAGATTACTTTTTCTTAGCCAAGAAACGTTATTATCGATCACGTGTAAAATTATGAAACTGTAACAGTGATAATGCAACGACTATCTTGGAATTGTCAATCCAGACGCTATTTCTGCGAAGAGAAAAAAAATTGATAACGATTATCGATTTTTACGAATACGAAAATGAACTCTGACGATTACACATTATCTACATTTAGCCTGGTGAAATTTTTTTATCTTTTATTAGTAAAACCAGCGAACTCTGTTGTCGGAGCAGCGATCCATGCAAGCGCAGGCAAAAGCGCAGGAATTCCATCGTACGTAGATCCCATCAGCATAGATAAACATTCTCTTTCTTGCCGGGACCTTTAGACTAGTCAAGAAATAAGCGGTTCTCTTTTGTACCTCCCCCTATCTCTTCTACTAGAGATCCACCGTCTTCCTTCCTTCTCGCCGTTCTCTCTTTCACCACCGACGCCACCAGATGGGTATTGTGTCTCTACGTGGGTATATACACACCGAGCGCGTGCAAATCCGCGGGCCTGTACGGGTATAATCGTTTATTTCGCGTCGACCTTTGCGGGGCACTACGTCAAAATGTCAGACGCGACCCCGCCTGAGAGCGCGGGCGCAGCGTAGCGCAGGGAAGATGCACTGGGAACGTTGTAATGGGCTTACAAAGCGTAACAAACTGATGCGAGGTCAAACACACGACGGGCAATAAACACACGGAGAGATAAATGGGCCCTTAAGGTGCGCGCCGCGCCGCGCCAGGGAAAAGTGTTTCGCGTTTCGGGCCCATCGCGGGCCCTTACGTACTACCCTACTCGTTTCCCCGCGATTTTTTCCCGTCCCGAGCCGAGATAATAGCGAGTCGTTAGCGATTATTTACAAGGGGGGCGGATATATATTATCACGCCTATCCGCGCTGCTTTTGATCCTATCGAACGCCTCGATATCACCGATCTCTCTTCAGATGCAGACTCACTTAACGTGTTCACCGGCCAATCGTGTACAATGCTCATTCTTTTTCTTTCGTCGTCTCATAAATTATATAGATCGTTTTAACAAAATGAGAACGAAATATAAAAGCATGTTCAAAAATAGATTCGGATGAATCATCATTCGTATCGAAACGATCATGACGTTAATGTTCGAATTGGACAGTTGACGGAACGATATCGCGACCTCGCACGTTCTTGCCTCGAGTTTAAGAGACAAGCAGGGATGATCGCCGCGAGGTATAAGTGACTTACGAACCGTAACGAACGCGTAGAAAGCTTAAACCACGGGACCACACGATAAACGCGTGAAAAGATAAATCGACCTATCCCAAGGAAAGTGTATCGCTTTAACTAAAAAGTATTTTTATTATTCAATATTATTATAAACTGAGTACATACCAGAGATGTAATATTCCATAACATTTAACATATTCTATGTCAAATATAGGTATGTACACTCATGTCTGTATGTATATTGTATGAAAATTGTTTATTATTAATAGAATGAAAAATGAAGTTGTTCGATTCAATATTAAAAAACTTATTCTACTTTAAAGTATGTTCGAATATTGATGAAAGTCACTGTATAAATATTGCATGAAAATTAAGTACTATTAAGTATTAATTCAAAAAGGAATTTTATATGAGGAATAAATACTACTTGCATTGGTAGGATAAGATATGAAAGCAGTTCAGAGAGTAAAGATATCATTCGTATATCGCCCTTATTATTTACGACATTGTTCTTTGCACTAGTTTATTTTCCATCCCTTCTCACCTAAAGCTTATCTTATGTCAGGTGTATCATAGTCATTGTTAGCATTCTCGAATGAACGTATGGTCTTGAAATAGCATATATGTTCATACATTCATACCCTCCCGCCTCATCAACGAGTATAACGCTGTATTTTCGGTGGCTATCAACTCTGAAAGTTCAAAGCGAACTCTCTAGCACACCATATAGTATAATAATGATGCTACGATATCCCCGCCTGTGATATTTCATGTACTCTTCACTTGAATAGGCTCGGATGAAAATTATACATGTTTACTTCAAAGAAATAAATTTTGTTGAAAATTCTTGTTCACTAATTAGATTCATTTACAATATGAATTCATAAATCGCGTAAATATGTTGCAGATGCCACAGACAGTGCCCACAGCAGCCGGCTACTCGCCGTCGTTCGACTACAGCACGTTCCAGTTCGATCTTTCGCTACTCTCGGACGATTACGCGACGACGACAACGCAAAATACGTTGAAACCAGAACAGATCAAGCAGGAGGCTCAATCGCCGCGTCCCGGGTCGCCGTCGACGTACCCGAGCCCAGCGTACGCTGGTATCGGGGGTGAACTATCGCCTAACTATTCGCAAGAGGGTTCGCCAGGATATCCGACGAGTCCTTGCTACGTGCCTAGAAGCCCGCAGAGCGCGCAATTCTATCCAACCAGTCCAGAACCGTCCGCGAAGCAGCCAGTCAAGAGAGAGAAGAGCTTAGACCTTTTGGCGATCTTACAAGAATCCAGGTAAATTTTGTTCCCATTAAAAATCACTATTTTTATGTTAAACAAAAGACAATAGAGTTACTGAACGAATTATTCGCAGTAAGACAATGTTTCGATGTCTTATGTAAAAATTACTGAAGGAGCTATCGTATTTATGCATGAAAACGCGATATTAAGCTGCCGTGTAACACGTGGCCATTGCGAACCCCGGTTTCAGGCTCTTGGCCGAGAGTCTGGGGTACAGAGAGGACTCGACCGACTGCACGGTCCCGTGCACGCCGCCGAGAACGGAGGAGGACATTTACAACAGCCTTGACGCGGACTTCTTCGCGAAGAAAGAGGATACCGTGGTGCAGGGTCACCCATTGCTGAAGGAGATCCTCTTCAAGGAGGAACCTCGGTCCAGCAGCAATTCGTCGTCCTCCTCCTCCTGCTCTTCCTCCTCCTCCTCCTCCTCTTCTTCTTCTTCTTCCTCGTCGTCGCCGTGTTCGAGCGCTTCTTCTCCGAACCCCGTGGATCTTGAAAACGGATCCCCGTTGAGGAGCTTGCTGTTCAAGGGTGCGAGAACAAATGTTCTGAAACTCGATAGAATACAGGACGAGGTCAGGAATCCTCTGCGGAAGGAGGAGGAACTGTTCAAGGACGGGCAGAAGAGCGATCACCAGTTGCTGAGAGAAGTGCTGAGGGATACCAGCTTCCAAAGGAAGTATAACCTCAGACCCGTGGACCTGGGTAGCGTCGGTACTGGATTCGTCGAAGACATGGAAGCTGGCGAATGCGTCGGCGATCTCACCAGGGAACAGATCGAGCCTGTACTCAGCCTTGCCATTCAACAGCTTCAAAAGGACTTCGATAATACCTGCGTCGCGCTTGGTATCCATCCCGGTGAGCTCTTTATCAATTATTTATTTATTTCGTGGGTTAAAGAACCTATTATGTATAAAAATCTAATAGAACGAGCAGGAGTATTAATTCTATTTCTACCGAAGGTAACAAAAGACACCTTCTGATTTCTGATATTTTCGCTTAAAATTATTATCATTAGCTTAATAATTCCTCAAAGTCCTTCAAAGTCAAAAATTAAAACGAAAAGTAAGAATTTAATTTAAGTGAAAAATAACGTTAAAAGGGGGAGATTGTACAACCCCATTCAAGGCCGAAAGCCAGTACTACTACTACTACTACTATTACTGCTACTATTGGTAGCAAATTATAAAAAAAGTTGTAAGGTGAATTATTTATTATGGATAGACTGCAAATTTTTAGCTATTGCATAGAAATTACTTGTGTCGTTTGTACAATCAATTTTGTATTCTGCATATTTTGTCTGTACATGTTTCCATGAACGCATAAAACCCTCTGCCTCGAACTCTGATCATTTGTTAGTATAATACAATGAATGGTGGAGATAGGAGTTCGATGTTGATCACCAGATAATAAATTCTCATAAAGTTTGCCGTGGACATTTATAATCTAATTGGTACCGTGACGTGCGAGCTGAAGGCTTGTTACAGTTTTACGATAAGGCTATTAGACAGAAGCAAATGGGAAAACGACTTGATAGTTCCACTTCGGAATGCCTTACCTTAGACTGTTTGTCAGACCTTCCCGCTACCTTGCCGCCGGCGAGCTAACGCGATATCTCCGAACGTAGGAGCGACCGGTTCGACTTACTGTTTAGTAGTTGGTAGTCGCATGATGTCATGCCCGGAATAAGTTACGAAGTCGATGTAGATGTCTAGTTTGCGGTGCTTTCACGAAGCGGTTACGAAATTTCGAGGCTTTGCCGCAAGGTCACCTCGCGCGCACTTCCGCCACTTTTCTCACATTTTTTTTCTTTCATAAACGAATGCGTCACCGTATTGGCGTACGTGATTTCCAGGCCGTGCATATACATGCAAATTATGGAGAATCGAAAAAATCAGATCTAGATAAGTACACTATTAAAGAATTTTTAAAACTGTCTTTTTTTATGGCATTTCTCGCTGCATATATGAAATGCATAATGTATGTTAATCGTTGAATAATGAAGAATGAATCGAGTGGACGTTAGGGACCGCGGGTGTAGAAAGTACGATAGTGAAATCGAAAGTAACTGTACCGAACGCGCGTCATCGCGAGACCTCGGTACGTGGCTTCCGATGAAAGGAAATTATGAGAAAAGTAACACTGATTGTAAGGAATTTCTGATGAAATTCCGTATTGCGCAAAATAAGAAATCAGTTTGTCTCATTGAAAATTCACTTTACTTTTACATAAACCTTTACGGAAAGATACTAAATTATATCCTGAATTTTTTCGGGCCAGTTGACACAGACTTTTCATTCTATAAATATCTCAAGTCGTCGAGAGCCCACGCTGCATAAAATGTATGTAAATACATTCCACGCACAAACTGAATGATATCAAGTAGATGATATTACGTGTACTTTAGATAAAACCCAATGATATTTGCTGTGCATCATTTTTAATAAAAGGAATCTGAGAACAATGATGTGCATCTTCAAATACATTAGTCACGTACTCTGTATGCTATTGTGGTATCCAAAGTTCATTAAAATTTACAAATAACTTCTAAAATCCTAAGGCACAGTTACAATTAACAAATTAATATAACAATTTCAATAAAACTGTACGAAGTTAAATATGAGGCAATCATATTTATGAAATAATTGTATTAATTACAGAGCCGCGACGTTGGAGTGCAGCGGACGTGGCAGCTTGGATCCAATGGGCGAAGAAGCAATTGCAATTGCCCTCGGTACCATTGGAGAGTTTCAACGTGGACGGCGCTACGTTGGCTTCCCTCACGGAAGAGGAATTCTGTCAACGGGCCCCTCAAGTGAGTCTCTATTTTCAAATAAATAAATGCAGAATTAACGTAATTAATAAAATTAATTCGTAAAACATTGGAATTTATAATAACAAACTAATTGTTAGTTATAAGAAAAATTGTTTTGTTAATACTAATAATTTATAAAGTATTCGCTCTGTATTCGGTATGTGACTATAAATCAATTTGGTAAAAGGTTTTCATCCAGCTTTGAGTTCACGCTTCATTATCAACTCGTACAGTCTGAGAGATGAAGAAGCTTCGGGTTGAGTCTTGAAATCGGCCAACGCATATAACGGGTATCGTTCACTTTCAACCGGTACCGTTACGCAACGGCTGTAAATACGAGGCGGTGAGGCAGCGACGCGGCGGGCCGATTATTCGCGAACCGTTTTAACGAAGCAATTAGTCCCAGGAATTTCGCGGCATTTTCGATAAATTGATCAGCGCGCAACCGCGGGCGGCTCCTCGATTGAATGACTGGCCGGCGAACGAGAGTCATCCTTCTTTCAGTTGACGAGATGAATGAGAGAATCGCACTGAGTACTGGTTGTTGATCGTTTATAATTGGACTGAGGATTTGCATGCAAATTGATTTTCTTGCGAACGGGCTACAACTCAGTCCGTTTTATTACGGAATTATGAAAATGTGTAGAATAAAAAACGTATCGGCTAATCTTATCTCTCGATCAATGTGCATTTAATTCGACCGCAGACTAATTGATTACTTTACTAACGAGCATCAGCCTTTTAGAATACACGAAGGAAAACAAAAGAAGTGTGACATACTTAAGGGTACTAACAACAAATGATGCAAATATTAACTTACAGAATTGTGAAAATGTGTAGTTTAGAATAAAAAACTAATCGACTAATCTTATCTCTCAATAACTGTGTCTTTAATTTAATCATAAACTAATTGATGAATATTGAGTTTGCTTAAAACGGTTTCTCGATCTCCTTTCACGCAATGAAAATTATGGGTATTATGGATAATTGATAATCAGTCTATTGTTGCTTCATAGATTATTCTGAATTTATTTGAGAATTCTTTCAATCCCATGTAACTGGCCTGATTTCACGAAGAATCTAATGGTGCTAGTCACACAAGAATCAGGCTACTAATTAGCAATTTGTTTTATTTGAAACAAATTTTTAAAATGGTTTTCCGATCTCTTTTCCTGAAGTACAAATTATGGAAACATTTTGATTTTGATAATAATCATTCTATTGTTTTATTGTTGTTTATTGTTGGTGGATAGACTATTATGAATATATTTCAAAATTCCTGGCAATGAGCCTGGTCTGACTCGACAAAGAAACTAATGGCGCTAGTCACTCGAGAAACACTCGCGGACAAGGTCCGGTGAAAGTGAATTTCCTGGAAATCGGTGTGCGTCGTCCACGTTCCTCCTTCGTATTTAATCCACGGGCAGCGAGACGCGGCCGGGAGGAACGAAGGCATAAGTAAGCAATCGGCGTAATAATACAGTTTGCGCCGCTTAACGGAACCAGGATTCCCTCGGTATACTGCCGTACAAAAGTTCCCAGTAATCCAAACGAATCCATTGAATTATACTGAATCCTAGATAATCATATGCAGTGATACTTTTGCTTATATAATAAAGAAGATACTATTTTCTTGTTTATAAGTATATTTTATTATCAAAAGTGAACTTTCTCGCTCTCTTAGTTTTCCTGTAATACCTCACTTTCCCCGAAAATCATGCATTTTTACAAAAACAACGTTTTTTCGGAATCGGTACGTGATAGAGCAATTCTATTTCCAGATTTTTGTTTAGCATGAAAACCTCTATAAGTGTCACGTGATGGATATTGCAAAAATTTTTTTATGTTGGCAGTGAAATCAGAAGCAATATTATAATTATTTTTCAGCAATCTACAAGTCATCGTATGTCTCATACTAATAAATAAAATATCACTGGGATTTTAATTTCTTAGCTGCTTCGTACATCAGTTTTTTGTAAGAATTACGCATTCTTCCAACTGAAGAAGCTACCCATGAATTATTGATGTAGAATCTTTGTTGGACTTTTCTAAAGTCAATAAATATCTCAAAGATAAGTGTGTATTTATGGACGGCAGTGTACATACCGTTTGCACGTCTCTGGAATACGTGTGCTTTTAGCCTCTCGCCGATTTCTGTACCCCAGCCGTTCGATAGACCGTTATTGACCGGGTCTCAAACCCAGTTGATCCCAGAATGCAAACAACTCACAAAGCGTCAAATAAATATTGGATTCTTTGAAAGGTATTTGTGAAAATGTTGCATAGAGCGAGCCTGAAAATTGGGGAAGGTTACCGGTTTGATGCTCCCAATGCATGTGTTAAATTCGTTCGTACACGTAGAACGGGCGACGTAAATTAATGGCGGACGCGAACGGGCACAGGGCAGATTGGATTAGCCAGGGAGAATGTATAGGTAGTCGCGCATAATGGACTCGATTTTACATCTCGTAATTGGATAATTATACTGCGCCGTATCCGCTCGCTCTAACATTGAATCGTGATCGAACTCACGGCCGTGCACTGTCTGCAATTTTCGGAATTTTTCTGCAATCGTTACCCTCCGGCCGAAATCTACATTACCTCCGACTCGTGTTCATTTGATACAATCTCCATTAATCGTATTCTATTTTGCGATAAATGATTAGTATCATTTCTATTTGAAACGTTACACGAATTATTCAATTTATCGTTTAAAATATATATCTTTTAGTATTATGAAATCCAAGTAACGTTTCTTGGAGATACGTGTTCGATACGTGATGCAACACTCTGACTCATGGGATAGCGAAGGGAAAAGGTATAATTGCGTGAAAGCTGGCAACTAATTCGAGGAACACTTCGAAATCTGCGAAACGTATTTCCCCAAGCAATTCATTAGTGACCTGTGACAGGGTCCCATTTAAGACCGAGCTTGATTGATACGTCACAATTATCAACTTCTCAATCTAACAGATTTGTCCCTGATTTTAGAAATGAATTTCTACAAAATGATAACTCGTAATAATTTTAATGCTTGATTGTTCAATTCGATTTGACAAGTACTTTTTATATTTTTGATTAACTATCTGGCTACTTATGGAGGTAGTGTAAGTATGTGCATGGGACGCCGCGGGACGCGCTATTTGCCTCGCAGAAACGATGAAGAAGTAGGTCAACGGCTGGCTGAATACCTACAGCGGCTCACGAAAGTATTCAGACATTCATAGAGACTTTTATATTTCCCAAATAATTTATCCTTACGAGACACCATTTGATTATATTAGATACGTAGACAGATAAGAATCATGATAGGAAAATTATTAAAACAATATGATTGCAGATAAGAAATTGCAAACCTATTCGTGCAATCATTAATTTATATATTATCAAGAACAATATTTCATAAAATTGTGTATAGATAAAAATTGATTGAAAATATGCTTGAATGGATTCCAATCTTTGATCAAGTTAATGGCTCGAATACTTTCGTGAGCCACTGTACCTGGTTCGCTTCGTCTTACGACGAGCAGAGCCGCTTTCTCTTCTCTTCTCTCAACGACACCGTGTCGAAGGAATTCTAACGCTTACGTATCCACCTCCCTCTTACTCCTCTTCTCTTATTTACGGGCTCTTCGTCATTCACAATTAACCAGTGGCATGCACAGCCTGCCCCTTCAAAAACGCGAATATCCAACCTGCGAGGAGACTTCACATCGCATAAATCAGATGATAATGGATGCGTTTAATTAATTTTCTAGACAGATGGAAAAATTATGTTTCCCATCTCAAAAACGCGAATATCCGACGTGCAAGAAAATTCCACATAACACTTTAGGCAAATCATGTAAAAATATAGACAAATGGAAAAATACGATGTGTTCGATTTTTGGTAGAATTATTTAAATGAAATTGAAGATGGAAGTCGTAAAGAGATTACGTTTTCTGTTTCAGTGTGGGAGCATCCTTCACGCGCAGTTGGAAATTTGGAAGGCTGCAGTCGAAGAATCTCCACGCAACACACTGGCAGCTACCTGGGGCCCAATTGTTCAAACATCCAACAATAGTAACAGTACAACTAGTTTAGCCAATGCTACTGCAGTTAACATTAAAGGCTCCACCTGCATGGACTTCTCTGACGGTAAGTTAATTCTCAAATAGCTTTCTGTTTCTCATTATCTCATAACACCGTTCATATTAACTGGAATCTTGTAAACCCACAATTTTTTCTATTTAATCTTGTACTTCTAAAAAATTCTATGCATAATGGTGGGCGAAAAACAAAATATTTGACAACTATCTCATGATTAAATTTCAATATTTATATGCACCCTATATATAAT